TGCAAGATTATAGTTGTAGCATTTTTCACACATTTCTCACAAACATCGGTGTTAACATCACGTCTACATAGAAAGAGACCATAGACTGTGTCCGGAGAGTTGTGGCCAATAGTGTAGTTATAATATCCATTCTCTTGGGTAGCATTTGAGGATAAAGTAAGGAGAAGTTGATTCAAGTTGGACTGATAGGTGCTATTAGGACTGTACGTAGTTGTATTTGGGCAGAAATGATAAAGATAATTCACGGAGCTAACCCTTCTCGTGCTAAAGAAAAAGAGAAAGCAAAACAACAAAAAATACGCAGAGATGCTCAAGGCCGACATGGTCTGCTACTGCTATATTTTGATCTCAAAAGCTTTTTTATTTTACCATTCAATTCACCCTAACATTCCTTACTTTGTCCGGCTTTTTATTATGATTAATTGCGAAACGAGACTGTAAACTTTATGAATGAGTTAATTTCTTGGAAATTACCAAGGGAAAGAATTGGCAATGTCTTTGACGAAGACATGACTGGCTGCCAATATAGACTTTTAAAACTCTTCAACATTCGTCAGCCTCAAAATTCTATATTTTTCCAACGTCCACTCAATTGCTTCTCTTCACCGATTTTGGAATTTAACCAACCAATAATAAAATAGGATAAACCATTAATGTCTGATGATATGTTTGGTAAGGTGGATCGAACAATATTAGACGATATTAAAAAAGAAAAATAAGTTAATTCTTGTTCAATATGATGTCTATATTTTTTGTGCTTCAACAGGTTGTCTAAATTTTTAAGGTAGCGTTCGTGCTTGGTAGATGTAATAAATTGACTAAGGATCACTATATTCCAGAAGTTCTAGTTGGGCTGAGGCAAGAAATGAGACTACAATGCTACACGCAGGGTGTTACGAATGTGAATAATTTGACCTAATCAAATTGTACATGTTTGCTGAGTACAAGAGATGGCTGCGACAGTATCTTTGATGAGGACATGACAGGATAGGACTGGCTGCTGATTTCATTAAGTTTTAGACTTTTAAAACTCAGTGGCAGTCAAATAATCAAATAGGACCAATTCTTCAATTAAACATAGTATTAATTATTAGACGGTTCAAGCCAAATTTTAGCATTGACTTGATCCACTTGACCGCATACTCGACCTACCCGGCCTATTTCACTGGTTGATGCTTTATTTAAAGAGAGGGCCTTGGTATCAATTGACCGAGCTGGCTTTGTTTTGGGATGAGAAACGCCAAGATGATTTCAATCATTATAGTCCCTTTTTAAAAAATTCCCTCTAAATATTAACCTGGACACTATCTCTCATCATAAAACTTTTACACTTATATATGCTTCATTTATAGACATGGGCTGGTTGGCAACTAGCTCTTTTGTTGTGCTATTTGATCTACTCTAAAAATCGAATGCAGGTCGATGTGGAATATGCAGGAGATTTGAGTAAGTATCGAGCATGGCAATTATTGATGTCATTCTTGATCTTTTATCAACATTTTCTTGAACACACAATAAATCAATTTGGATGCATTGAACGACATCATCCAATACATAAGACTTGCAAACTTGGATCCATCAATTCTGAAGATGTACTATTTCTCCAAAGTCTCCAAGCCTGTTCAGGCAAAAGTAGGTTAAGATGAAGTTAATATTATTATAAATAATTATTTTATTTATTACCATTTGTATTTTATAATATGCACATTTGAGTATCCTAAATTTACAATCAGAATTAAAACTTTGGAATCACCTAGTTTATCTAGCCTTAGCTTGAAAGCTGTTATTATTCTCACTACTTATGATTTTCAAAATTAAAAATATCGAATTTTAATGCGAAGTTGCCACGTAATATATACTTTGGAGGAATTGCTCGTTGATTAGTCAAAGCAATTCTAGAATGGAACGTGTATTGTGAGATATGTAACTACGAATTGCTCGTTGATTAATCTCAGACTCAGTGCAAGAAGGAACAGTGAGTCAAGTAATGGGACTCACGTGAAATTATTAATTTTGGATGCTATCTCAACCGTGTAAAACCTCAACTCTCCGTTGACTTTTCTTGCTCCTCTCAGTATTTTTTCAATGCTATCAAGTTATTTTGCATCTACGAAAAATAAAATACACTCTTTTTAAATTTGGATGTAAAATATTTGGGTATTTTTTTTTTTCAAATTTATTTTCAATCACACATTCACACAATAAAATATTTTACTCGTAAATTTAAAATCTTTTCCTATTTTTTAGCCATATTTGATGATCGTTATTTCAAAACTTTTAACTCTCATACTCATTTTCAACCACACATTTACACAATAAAATATTTTATACGTAAACTCAATATATTTTTCTGCTAACCACACATTCTTCAAAAATCACTATTCAAAACTCAAGTTTTTCAAAATGACGGCCATCAAACAAGGATTCAATCACACATTTTCCAGAACATTACATTTTCAAAACTCATTTCTCTAAAAACTCTTCTTAATGTTTGTCAATGAGTCAGTTTTCCAATTTCCTGCCATTACAGATCTTTTTAAGTAATTCCCTCTAAATATTAATCTAGACACAAAATCTCTGGTCTTAAAACTTTTACACTAATATATGATTTCTCTCTCTCTTGAGATATCTCATTCAACGCGTATTCTACTATCTTAGACACATTTCACTTATCGATGCTTCATTTATAGACATGAGCTAGTTGGGATCTAGCTCGTTTGTTGTGCAATCTGATCTATTCGAAAAATAAAATGCAAGTCGACGTGGAAGAGGCAGAGCATTTGAGTACGCAAGCATAGCAAGTACTGATGCCATTCTTGGTCTTTTATCAACATTTTCTGGAACACACAATAAGCCTATTTGGAAGCATTGAATGACTTCATCCAACACATAAGACTCTTGCAATGTTGGATCCATCAATTCTAAGGGTGTACTATTTCTCTCTAGTCTCCAAGCCTGTTCAAGCAAAAGTAGGTTAAGATGAAGTTAATATTTTTATAAATAAATATATATATTTTATTTACAACATGTCGGTAACCTAGAGTTATAATATGCACAATTGAGTATCCTAAATTTACAAAAAGAAGTAAAACTTTGCACTCACATAGCTTATCAGGCCCTGGCTTGTACAATCTAATTTGTAGAAGCTGGGTTGTTATTCTTGCATCTTATGATTTCCAAAACCACGATGCCAAAATTAAAAACATCAGATTTTATTGGGAAGTGGCCACTCATTGCGTACTCTGGAACAATATAACCACGACAATCCCATTCCACATCATATACAAGTCAAGATTAATGAAGATACACACAACAAATGTTAAGTAAAACTTACTATGTCCTGCCAATCCTCCTTGTATTTCCTGCAAAATTATGAGTTCAAAACTTGTCACCATCCATTTTATGAGAGTTTTCGTGTCAAAAAAAAATTAATCTAACATGTTCATGAGGGACATTTGTGTGTTTGAGTTCCATTATTTTTTAAGAATGTATTTTGGAATAATAGATTGATGGAGAATACGTAATTAAAAAATAAGGAATTTTTTTGATTTGCGTGTATAATATTATTTTAATGAAGAATGTGTGGTTAAAAAAAGAGAAAAAATATATATTTTAGAAAAAAATGGAAATCAAACGTCATAAATGTGTCCATCTCTAACAACTTAATTTTTTGTTTGAATTGATTTTAACACTCCAAAATTTTTATGTTAAGCTTGGAACTAATATAATCTCATTATTAAGGGTGTGTATGTCATCCATTTTTTGAAGATAAAATTTTTTAGAATA